ACTGCACTCCAGTCTGGGCGACAGAGTGAGACTCCAACTCAAAAAAAATAAAAAACAAAATAGACCTCACATAATCCACTTGGACACACCATACTTCTGTTCCAGGCATTTTTCCAAGGAAACAACACCTTGATGGGTGCTCCAGTCGGGCTATAAAAATCCCACGAATGGCAATGTACCTGAAATTGATTTGCTATCTCCCTTCCTCTAAGGATTGACCAGCGGCCTCCTTGCCCATGAGATACCTCCCCTGCTGGCCTCCCATGTTTCCTGTTTCTCCTCTGGTTTCTGTTTCCATATAGGTTCAGTTCCCTGCTTGGGTGATCTACGCCCTGTGGGCCTCGGGGAACCCCTCTCTGCTCGGCAGGGCACCCACCCTCCAGCAGGCGGGAACAGCCAGGCAGGCGGGAACAGCCAGCCCACAGCACAAGCCTCTCTTCTGGCTCTAACTCTTGAACCCCTACTGCCCTTCGACCTGCTGAGTTCAATGGGTTGCCTGGGAGCAGCTATGTGTGGGCACCTACCTACTTCTCTACCTTTCTGACCAGGTGGGGCCAGCAATTCCTCTGCCTCAGTTGACCCTACCATTATTTATTGAGCCAGTGCTAGTTGTCAAGACCCTCCCGACAGAGACTCAGAGCTTGTTTCATTTTCAAATAGTCAAGCCAGGCCCAACAGGCTTCTGCACAAAGTTTCCATTTCCAGAAGATAAAATCTCTCGGAAAACAAGTTTTACAAGTTCACGGTCCCCTGCATAAAGTGATATTTGATTAGCCTAAAACTATCCCTGCACACCTCAGAGGCAGAGTTCCAGAATCAGGGATCCCAGCAGCCCCGCAGGCCTAAGGAAGGTCTAGGACAGGCCGGGCGCAGTGGCTCAGCCTGTCATCCCAGCACTTTGGGAGGCCGAGGTGAGAGGACTGCCTGAACCCGGAGGTTCGAGACCAGCCTGGGCAACATGGTGAGTCCTCGTCTCTACAATAAATCAAAAAATTAGCCAGGCGTGGTGGTGTGCACCTATAGTTCCAGCAACTTGGAAGGCTGAGGCGGAAAGGATCGCCTGAGCCCAGCAGGTTGAGGCTGTGGTGGCCATGAGCATGCCACTGCACTCCAGCCTGGGTGACAAAGAGTGAGACTCCAACTCAAAATAAATAAAATAAGAACAAAGAAATGTGTGGATGCTAACTGTTCAAAAAATAAAAAGAAAGGTCTTGGACAGTGGTTCCCAAAGTGTGGTCCCGGGAACCGGCAGCTAAGGCAGCCCCTGGAAATGTGTCAGACATGCACATTCTCAGCCCTACCCCAGACGTGGTGAATCAGAGTCTCAGGTGGGGCCCAGCACTCTGTTTGTACAGGCCCTGGGGTGACTCTGAGCCCTGCCCTGTTTTCAGAGCCATTGTCTGGAATTTAGGGATTGGAAACATTGTCCCTGAGGCTTTTTTTGCAAGTCCCTGGGCAGGCTGAGCCCTGGGTGAGAAGCCACCCCGCCTCCGTCAGAGCAGCTGCCCACGTCTCAGACTAGGGTGGAGGGGCCACGTACCCTTCCAGATGTAGATCTTGCCGCAGAGCCCGTTGTCCAGCACGAAGCAGTCGTCGGACACCAGCAGCTCGAGGGCAAAGGGGCTGGCGTCGGCCACCTTGGTCAGGTTCATTTGTCCCGTGGCATCAGAGACCTGGGGAGCAGGGCGGCGCTGGATCTCGCCCCCACCGGCCCTCATGGCAGCCCCAGGAGGGGGCTTGGCCCTCCCCCGCTCCCGCCCACCCTGCCCGCCTGCCCCTCCATGTCCCAGAAGCACACAGGAGAGAACCCCGGAAAGCAGATCCCAGACAGCCCCCCACCTTCCCTCAATCCCCATCCCTGCAGCGCAAGGGCCCCGAGTCCGCTGGGGAAGCAGGTGGATTCCAGATCACAGAGAAATGCAGACTTGGCACTGACTTCAGACCTTCCCCAAGCGTGGGCCAGAGGTGAGGGAGGAGAGCCTGCCCTCTGCCCACTGGCCTCCTCTCTCGCCCCAAGCCCTGAATCTCCTCCCCTTCCCCCCACAAGCACCCAGAGTCCTGCCCACCCCACCGGCCCCAGGGCAGGCCTGGGGTGCCCACCTTATACAGAGCCGCGGCCTGGGCATTCGTCTGGTCGGCTGTGAGGTCTTCCTCGGGGTTGCCTTCCTTCAGAGCAGGCTTGGAGCCGAGGACCTGCGGGGCCAGGGCAGGCCAGGTTTACAGGCATCCCTGCCCCGGAACCTCCCAGCCCGTCATACCCACAGCCGGGCCTCCAGTGGGACAAACGGCCCTGCACCAGGGCACCCGGCAGAGGCGACAGAGGCCTGGGTCCAGTACCCTCCACCGGCCAGTCTGCTCAGCCTCGAGAACAAGCATCTACAGGGAAGGGTCAACCTGTGGGCTGCAGCTCTGGGAAGCGCCCTCGATGCCCCCTGCCGCCTCCACCGGCCACCCTCGGCCCCCAGCCCATCATCGCCTCTCTCGGCCCCTTGGCAGAGACACCCGGCCACCCTCCACATCCCCCCACCTGGGTCATCTCCGCGGGCTCCTCCCCATCCATGACGATCTCCACCTGGGCCTTGCCCTGCCGCTCGCTGTCCCGGATGGCCAGGGCCAGGTCCCTCGCCTTGTTGCGCTCCAAGATGTTGGACCTCCCTCCACACCAGGCAAAGATGTTCTGAGGGGATACAGGGCAGCCCAGTCAGAGCCGGCTGCCCGGGGCCTGCCAGCCCCCATGCCCCCACTCAGAGGGAGGGCCCCTGGCGCGCCCTCTTTCCTCTCCAAAGAACTGTCCCCTGCGGCAGAACCATCGGGAAGGCATGGGGCCACGGGGCCATCTTTCCTTCTCTTATTTTTCCGCAACATGTATTGCCGTGCACTTGAACATCTTCATCTTGCTTAGAGCGATCTGTCTCCCCTGGCCAGGCCTGGTGGCTCACGCCTGTCATCTCGGTACTTTAGGAGGCCAAGGCGGGCTAGCTTGGGCTAGCCTCAAGGTTTGGGACTAGACCGGGCAACAGAGCGTGACCTCGTCTCTACAGAAAAAAAAAAAAAACTTAGCCAGGCGTGGTGGCATGCGCCTTGGGTCCCAGCTACTAGCTCAGGAAGCTAAGGCGGGAGGATTGCTTGAGCCCAGGAGGTTGAGGTTATGGTGAGCGGAGATCATGCCACTGCACTGGGCAACAGAGTGAGTCATGTTGTCTCAAAAAAAAAGAACTGCTGGGCGTAGAGGCTCAAGCCTGTAATCCCAGCACTTTGGGAGGCCGAGACGAGAGGACTGACTGAGCTCAGGGGTTGGAGACCACCCTGGGCAACTTGGTGAGACCTCGTCTCTAGGATAAATCAAAAAATAAGCCGGGCACAGTAGGGTGCATTTGTAGTTCCAGCTACTTGGAAGGCCCAGACGGAAGGATGGCCTGAGCCCAGTAGGTCGAGGCTGCAGTGGCCGTGAGCATGCCACTGCACTCCAGCCTGGGCAATAGAGTGAGACCCAACACACACACACACACACACACACACACACACACACACACACACACACACACAAAAGAACAATCCCAGCACTTTGGGAGGCCAAGGCAAGAGGATCGCCTGAGCCCACAGGCTCAAGACCAGCCTGGGCAATTTGGCGAGACCTCATCTCTATAATAAATAAATAAAAATTAGCCGGGCATGGTGGCACATGCCTGTAGTTCCAGCTACTTGGAAGGCTGAGGCAGAAGAATCGCTTGAACCCAGCAGGTTGACTCTGGGTTTGCCGTGAGAGTGCCACTGCACTCCAGCCTGGGCCACAGAGTGAGACTCCAACTAAAAAAAAAAAAACTATCTCCCCAAATAGAAAGTGAGCTGCATTAGGGCATGAAGATTTTGTTTTGCTTTGTTCACTCTGTATGCCCACTGCTAAAACAGCCTGGCACAGAATTATTAGGCACAGGTGAAGTCTTTTTTTTTTGAGTTGGAGTCTCACTCTGTCACCCAGTCTGGAGTGCAGTGGCCGCTCTCGGCCACCGCAGCCTCGACCCGCTGGGCTCCGGCGATCCTGCTGCCTCAGCCTTCCAAGTAGCCGGAACCACAGGCATGCGCTACCACACCGGGCTAATTTTTTTGATGTATTGGAGACATGAGGTCTTGCCAAGTTGCCCAGGCTAGTCTCAAACCCCTGGGCTCAGGCAGTCCTCTTGCCTTCACCTCCCAAAGTGCTGGGATGACAGGCTGAGCCACCGAGCCGGCCCAGACTAAGTCTTAGCTGAACGAATGCTCGAGAGGGCGAATGCCAACCTTGAGCTTGGCAGCTCACACTCCCACCCACACAGTCCCCGGCAGGGCCCTCACCACTCCTGCCCTCGTGATGCAGGGTCGGGCCACTGGTCCCCGCCTCGTGCCACCACTGCCAGCCCTGTTACAGCTTCTGGATCCGTCTCCCCACCCCAAGTCCTCATGGGGCCCACACTCCTCAGTCCCAGCTGACGTTCCTTCTCCTCGTGACCCGGGTTCCCCTCCCTTAACAAGTCCACTCCCCCTGCTCCCGGCCCCACCCTGGCCCCAGTCACTCTGGAGCTGTCCCCGCTGTCCCGTGCACCCCTGCACCCCTCCCCACCTTGGTGCCTTAGCTCACCTGCTCCCCTTGCCGGATGTGGCGTTTCAAGTCCATGCAGGAACCTTCCCGGGATGACTGGCCTGGGCTCCGGCTAAGGGCCCGCCCTGCCCCAGCACCCCCTGTGCACAGCCACTGCCCAACTCAGAGCCCTGGCCCCATGTGGGGAGTGAGCGGCCTCTTGGCTGCCTCCCCAGGGCGCCCCTGTACGCCCCGTGTTGGCTCAGAGTGGGCCTGGCAGATTCACAGAAGGGATGGATGCGTGACTGAATTGAATGGCCTGGCAGTCGGTTTACTCAGAGTTACAGAGGCTTCCGAGAGACGGAGGGAGTGTGCCACAGAGTGTCAGAGGAAGGCTGGTGTCTGTCCTCGCAAAAACAGGGATGTTTTCTAATGACTGAGGGGCTGGGGGGGTTCAACCTGGGATGGCCTGAGAGCTTCTCAGCGTCTCCTTCTTTCCTGGCCTCCCGATCCCGCCCTTTTTTTTAATATTTATTTTTTATTTTTTGAGTCGGAGTGTCACTGTCGCCCAGGCTAGAGTGCAATGGCACACTCACGGCCACCGCAGCCTCGACCCGCTGGGCTCAGGCCATCCTTCCACCTCAGTCTTCCAAGTAGTCGGAACTACAGGTGTGCGCCACCATGCCCAGCTAATTTTTTTTTTTTTGAGTCGGAGTGTCACTGTCACCCAGACTGGAGTGCAGTGGCACGCTTATGGCCACCACGGCCTCGACCTGCTGGGTTCCAGCAATCCTTCTGCCTCAGCCTTCCAAGTAGCCAGAACTACAGGTGCGTGCTACCATGCCTAGATAACTTTTTTAATTTTTTTATTGTAGAGACCAGGTCTTGCCAAGTTGCCCGGGTGAATCTCGAACCCGGGGGCTCAGGCAATTCGCTCACCTAGGCCTCCCAAAGTGCTGGGATGACAGGCGTGAGCCACTGCGCCCGGCCCGGTCCTGCTCTTTTATTTATTTATTTTATTTATTTATTTTTTTTGAGTTGGAGTCTCCCTCTGTCGCCCAGACTGGAGTGCAGCGGCCGCTCCCGGCCACCGCAGCCTCGACCTGCTGGGTTCCGACCATCCTTCCGCCTCAGCCTTCCGAGTAGCCGGAATTACAGGCTCATGCTACCATGCCTAGCTGATGTTTTGATTTATTGTAGAGATGAGGTCTCGCCGCCCAGGCGGGTCTCGAACCCGCGGGCTCAGGCCATCCACTCACCTCAGCCTCCCAAAGGCGCGGGATGACAGGCTGAGCCACCGCGCCCGGCTGGTCCTGCCCTTTTAAAGGATGCTGCCCACACGGTGTGCCCAGTCCGACCCAGCCAACCCACCTGGCCCAGGTCCAGGATGAAGCAGTCCCCAGTGTTGAAGCTGTCCCAGCTCAGAGCCCGCTCGGTGGCACGGATATTCTTCTTCCCTTTCACCTGGTAGAGCCTCTTGATGGCAGCTGGAGCCCCTGGGGAGGTCTTGTGGAATGCTGACTCCACGCCGCCTTCCTGCAGCCCAGACACGCGCCTGAGCGGACTGACGGGAGCCCCGGAGCCCTGTGCACCCCGTCCCATTGGGTGGGGGGCAGAATGGTGGGGACCCAGGGCCAGAGCCAGCTGGGAGCAGGGGGCGGGCATGGAGAGGGTGGGCACCGGGAGGTGGGCTCTTACCTGGTACTTGAGGCCTCGTGGGAAGTAGCTCATGAAGAGGTCGGACTCATTGCCCTGCACCTCCCGGTGCTGCACGGGCCGCTCACCCAGCAGGGTGTTGAGGTGCACGGCCAGCACGGCGCAGGCCCCCTGCTCATCCCGGGATGACTGCTGGCCTGGCACGGGTGCGAGGCGGCGGGGCAAGGTCCGTGAGACCCGTGCCAGCCCCTCCCGCTCCCGGGCCAGACCTCACTGCCCCCACTCCTTACCGATCCACAGGTGCAGGTGGGAGAGCTCCTCGGGGCCGTTGTGCAGCACTAGGTAGGAGTCCCCCGAGAAGAAGACCCCCTGGCTCTCTCGCGCGACGGGCACCGGCTTCAGCTTCTCCACCCGCCAGACGTGCAGGCCAGGGTCCTTCACCGAGGCCGAGAACGGAGACCCGCTGCGGGACGGAAGAGGGAGGGTGGCAGCTGGGCCGGCGGGGGGCACAGAGACCTGGGCAGGGGGCTAGGGCCTGGGGTGGGGCGGGGCAGCCCTCGGAAGGCGAGAAGGGAAGGCGTGGGAGGGGAGGGGGCCCTCAGCCTACCTCTGGGGAATGGACGTGTACATGGTGCTTCCAGATCTGAAAAGAGAAGCGACACCAGTATTATTACAGACACCAGAAAAAGCAAAAACATGGAACCAACCGAGCTGCCCATCAAAGCTGGACTGGATAGAAAAAAATGTGGTCCATATACACAATGGAATATTACGCAGCCATAAAGAAGGACACACATGTGGACTTCGCAGCAACTCGGATGGATTTGGAGTCGATCATACTCAGTGGTCTATCACAGAAACAAAGAACTGAGGTCCACATGTTCTCACTGATCATCAGACCTTGAACAATGATCATAATACTATAAGAAAGCGATTGGCAGTTGTGGGAAACTGCCGGGGGGGTGGGCACACCTCATCCACAAGGGCACCTGCATAATCAGCGTTTGTATACCTAACCCTGAATCATACCCCACATCTTTATAATAGTAAAAAAGATATTTTATAATTTAAAAGAAGGCTTATTCTTTTCTTTTTTTTTTTATTTGAGTTGGAGTCTCACTCTGTCGCCCAGACTGGAGTGCAGCGGCCGCTCCCGGCCACCGCAGCCTCGACCTGCTGGGCTCCAGCGATCCTTCCACCTCAGCCTTCCAAGTAGCTGGAACTACCGGCGCGTGCTACCACGCCCGGCTGATTTTTGATGTATTGTAGAGATGAGGTCTCACCAAGTTGCCCAGGCAGGTCTCGAACCCGTGGGCTCAGGTAATCCACTCACCTCGGCCTCCCAAGGCATAGGATTACAGGCTGAGCCACCGAACCCGGCTTATTCTTTTCTTAATGTAGTGATTTTACATGGAACCAACCGTGTTGCCCACCAAAGCTAGACTGGATAGAAAAAATGTGGCACATATACACGAGGGAATATTATGCATTCATAAAGAAGGACAAATATATGGACTTCGCAGCAACTTGGATGGATTTGGAGTGGATCATCCTCAGTGATCTCTCACAGAAATAAATAACAGAGTCCCATATGTTCTCACTAATAAGCGGACCTTGAACAATCATCATAATACTATGAGAAAGGGATTGGCAGGAGTGGGAAATTATCAGGGGAGGGGGGTGGGATTGGCAGTTGAAGAAAACTGCCAGGGAAGGGAGGAGCTCACCTCATCAACGAGGCCACCTGCATAATCAATGTTTGTATACCTAGCCCTGAATTGTACCCCACATCTTTATAATAAAATTAAATTCAATTAAAAAAGGCCAGAACAACCGCCCCTCATGCTGGCCCAGGAGGTCCTTCCAAATGGCCAATTACTTCCATATTCACCAGTTACTTCATCTCCCAAAGGAGATGATCCTTGGTCCCATTATGCAGGCAAGAAAAATGAGGCTCAGAGAGTGAAAGTCTAAGGCCACACAGCAGCAAGTGGCCCACAGAAATAAGGTCTCTAGCCTCGGATCCGGTGTCTTCCGCTGCCCTGACCTCTCAGACACACCTCCCATTCACTTCAGCTCCCCAGCTCTGGGGATTGCACAAGGCAGCACAGGGCAGGGTGCGGTGGTTCATGCCTGTAATCCCAGCAACTTGGGAGGCCAAGGTGGGAGGATCGCTTGAGCCCAAGAGTTCGAGACCAGCCTGGGCAACTTGGCGAGACCTCATCTCTACAAAAAATGGTAAAAATCAGCCAGGTGTGGTGGCACATACCCGCAGTCCCAGCTACTCGAGAGGCTGAGGCAAAAGGATCACCTGAGCCCAGGAGGTCAAGGCTGCCATGAGCTGTGATTGTGCCACTGCACTCCAGCCTGGGCAACAGAGACAGAGACCCTGACTCAAAAAAAAAAAAAAAGAAAGAAAGAAATGCCGGACGCAATGACTCACACCTGTAATCCCAGCACTTTGGGAGGCAGAGGCAAAAGGAATGCCTGAGTTCATGAGTTCAAGACCAGTCTGGGCAACTTGGTGAGACCTTGTCTCTAAAATAAATCAAAAAATTAGCTGGGCATGGTGGTGCGTGACTACAGTTCCAACTACTTGGATGGCTGAGGCAGAAGGATCGAGGCTGGAGTGGCTGTGAGTGTGCCACTGCACTCCAACCTGGGCGACAGAGAGAGACTCCGACTCAAAAAAAAAAAAGAAAGAAAGCATAAAATCAACGACTTCAGCTTCTATCATAAAAACAAAATAGGAAAAGGAAAAGCAAATGAAATCCAACATAATCAGAAGAAAGTTAGTCCAGATGTGGTGGCTCATGCCTGTCATCCCAGCACTTTAGGAGGCTGAAGCAGGAGGATTGCTTGAGCCAAGGAGTTTGAGATCAGCCTGGGCAACATAGCGAGACCTAATCTCTGTTAAAAAAATAATAATAATTTAAAAAGTTAGGTAAGTATAATGGTGTACACCTGTAGTCTCAGCTACTTGGGAGGCTGAAGTGCAAGGGTCACCTAGGCCCAGGAGTTCAATGCTGTGGTGAGCCATGATGGTGCCACTGTACTCCAGCCCGGGTGACAGAATGAGTGCCCCAAAATTAAAATAAAATAAAATATAAGAAAGAGAAAACAAGAGAGAAAATCAATGAAATTGATTTTTAAAAAAAGAATCAATGAAATTGATAACCTAGTCTGGGTGCAGTAGCTCAGGCCTGTAATCCCAGCACTTTGGGAGGCAGTAGTGAGAGGATTGTCTGAGATCAGGGGTTCGCGACCAGCCTGGGCAACTTGGCGAGACCTCGTCTCTACAATAAGCCAAAAAATTAGCTGGGCATGGTGGTGACACGTGCCTGTAGTTCCAGCTCCTTGTAAGGCTGAGGCGGAAGGATTGCCAGAGCCCAGCAGGTCAAGGAACATGCCACTGTACTCCAGCCTGGGTGAAATAGTGAGTCTCCGACTCAAAAAAAAAAAAAAATCAATAACCTTTAGACAAAGTGATTAGGAGAAAGAGAAAACACAAATTTCCAATACAGAAGCAAAAAGGAGTGACATCTCTACAGATTTAAAAGGATAAAGGGAATATTAAAACGACTTTATGCCAATATGTTCAACCACTCATAAGAAATGGCCAAATTCCTTGAAATATGCAAATTATAAAAGCTCATTCAGGAAGAAATAGATTACCTGAATAGAGGCAATATTTCTTTTTAAACATTGAATTTATATTAAATCCCCCCCCCCCCCGCAAATAAAATCCAAGCTCAGATGGTTTCATTGGTAAATTTTACCAGAAACGGCCAGGCACAGTGGATCACGTCTACAATCCCAGCACTTCGGGAGGCAGAGGTGAGGATTGCCCAAGCCCACGGGTTTGAGACCAGCCTGGGTAACATAGCAAGATCTCATCTCTACAATAAATTCCTTTTAAAAATCAGCTGGGTGTGGTGGTGCATGCCTGTAATTCCAGCAAGTTGGAAGGTGGAAGCAGAAGGATGGCCTGAGCCCCGCTGGTCGAGGCTGCGGTGGCCACAAGCATGCCACTGCACGCCAGTCTGGGCAACAGAGTGAGACTCAGACTGAAAAAAAAAAAAGCCGGGCTCAGTGGCTCAGCCTGTAATCCTGCGCCTTTGAGGTGAGTGGATTGCCTGAGCCCGCGGGTTCGAGACCCGCCTGGGTAGCGAGACCTCATCTCTACAATAAATCAAAAAATCAGCCGGGTGTGGTAGCGCATGCCTGTAATTCTAGCTACTCGGAAGGCTGAGGCTGAAGGATCGCCGGAGCCCAGCAGGCGAGGCTGCGGTGGCCGGGAGCAGCCACTGCACTCCAGTCTGGGTGACAGAGTGAGACTTCAACTCAAAAAAAAAAAAAAAGACCAGAAATTTAATTTAAGGAAGACATACTGCCAATTGTTCACAAACTCTTCCAGAAAATAGAAGAGAAAGTTACACTCCCCAATTATTCTATGCTGCCAACATTCTCCTAAAACCAAAAACAGACAAATATATTGTAAAAAAAGAAAATAATAGACTGGCCGGGTGCAGTGGCTCAAGTCTGTCATCCCAGCACTTTGAGAGGCCAAGGTTAGTGGATTGCCTGAGCCCACGGATTCGAGACTAGCCCGAGCAACTTGGTGAGACCTCATCTCTACAGTAAATTTTTTTTAAAAATTAGCCGGGTGTGGTAACATGCACCTGTGGTTCCTGCTACTTGGAAGGCTGAAGCGGAAGGATCACCAGAGCCCAGCAGGTTGAGGCTGCGGTGGCTGTGAGCCTGCCATTGCACTCCAGCCTGGGTGAGTAAGACTCCAACACATACACACACACACACACACACACACACACACACACACACACACACACACACGAAGACTCTTGGGAAACACACACGCACGCACACACACACACACATACACATGAAGACTCTTGGGAACCAGGACAGCAGGAAGGAATAGTGCCACTGTTGGGGACTGGATGACAAGTAGGAAACAACGGGGGAGGCCAAGATCCGAGACAATAGATGGGAAATGCAGCGTGAATCACGACTTTCCTTGTCCCTTTCCACCCTACAAAATAGCAAGGCATTTCTTGGCACCACGCCTGGCAGTGAGGGGTGGCTTGGGGAGGGAACCTGCAACGTTTCCCCATCCCACAGAGGATCACATGCTGTGCCACAACCCTTCCACAGGCCAGGCTGTGACTCAGGCCTGAAGTGGTTTAGTAGCCGCCCCAAGCTCAAGCTGGCAGGAGAGGTGGGAACTAGAGGGGGAGCGGGTCTGCTGTCAGTTTCACTACCTCTCGTGCTGTGAGTGAGAGGAGAGCTGGGGCCCTAACTCAAAATCCGGCAGCCCACACGCCCAGGGGTTTGGGGAGAAGGTTTGCTGGCTGCTTCACTGCCCTGGCTTCCCCTTAGAACTCTCTGGGGATCTTACAAACATATAAGTGCTGACAAAGATTTTTTTTTCCTGGGCCAAATAGTTTTTTTTTTTTTTTGGAGTCAAGGTCTCACTTTAGCGCCCAGGCTGGGTTCCAGTGGCACGATCACGGCTCACCACAGTCTCGACCTCGTGGGCTCAGCTGACACTCCCGCCCCAGCCTCACCAGTAGCTGGGAATATGGATGTGCACCACCACATCCGGCTAATTTTTGCATGTCTTG